CTCCCACGCAAAAATGACTAGAAATTATGTGATCGACCAACACCGACATGTAAAAATCATAATGGTGCAGATATAAATCCAAAGTAGCTAGGTTTAGCTTTATTACAATGCCATCATAGGGATAATAAAAGTAATATGACTTGCCCACTTAGACATTCCTTCAATACAGCATTTGAGCCTCACATCCAGTTTGTTGCCAAATCCTGTAGATTCCATCTTAAAAACATAGCCCACATCCGCCCCTTTCTTACCCAAGATGCTACTAAGGAGCTTGTCGATGCTCTAGTAATTTCCTGCACGGATTATTGAAACCCTCTCCAAAAACAATATAGCCCCGCTACAGTCTGTAATGAATGCTACCGCCAGATTTTCCTCTCTAGTCGGTCTTCTCACAACTCATCCCTCTGTCAGTCCTTACATTGGCTTCCTGTATCCTATTGGAGTCAATTCAAAGTGCTAACCCATACCTATAAAGCACTGAACATTTCTAGCCCCTCTTGTATCTCCTCACAGATCCATAGGTATGCCCCATCTCGGTCTCTCCGCTCTGCCCGTGACCTGCTTCTGTCCGCTGCTTGCACACGTATGGCCAACTCACGCTTGCAGGACTTCTCGCGGACTTCCTATGGAATAGCATGCATACCGCCAATAGACTCTCCCCTAGTCTTCAATCATTTAAGAAGTGCCTTAAAACCCATCTCTTTAGGAAAGCTTATGGCATCCCAAAGTAACCTCTACCTCACATACCTGTCTCTTGCTCTCTCCTAAAGGGCAGCACTCTACTCTCTCCTCCAGCTCTGCTTCACTCCCACCTTATTTGATTGCTATTTCCTGTCCTAACGTGTCTTATATCCCACCTCCTATAGACTGTAAGCTCGTTTGAGCAGTGTCCTCTTCAACCTATCCTGTAAGTTTTTTTGTAATTGTCCTATTTATAGTTAAATCCCCCTCTTATAATATTGTAAAACGCTACGGAATCTGTTGGAGTTATATAAATGGCAATAATAATAATAATAAGTGTATTTTTTTTAATGCATTTGGTGTATCTAGTAATAAATGTAATGAGAAATATTATGAGATTTGAGGTAGTTGAATTGCCAAATCTTCTTGTGCGATACGATGGGTGTTTTCCATAAATGAAACCAACGTGATCATAAGTCCTGACTGTGACGGACTGCCTGGCACTCCAATCGAGTGCCTCCGCCAATCAATGCTCCTAGTGCTCACCGAGGAATTCCAGCACTCCACCAGACACCATAAGCACTGCAGAACCCACTTCCAGTGATGCAGCTGCGCCGGGGTCTCACCGTCCTTTACCCACCCTGGACCCAAGACCGGGATCCAGATTCTAGTGGGCAGACCTCTCCTACTCCCAGTAAGCGTAGCAAGAACAGCTCATATAAGAGCTAGTGATTATAATTCCTGGGGAGTATATTGATTTAGCAAACCCCACATAGATATAGCCGTTTCCCCCACACATGAGATGAGACTCTATGTTGAGGGTAAGCAGGAACAGAATTTTAATGGAGGCACACTGGCCTTTTATGAAAGTTCCCCAACAAGGGTGACACCCAGGTGGACCTTGTTGGGGACAGAGACACAAAGTGAATAAACCAATAAAAACAGAGTCATACAGTGAGACACTCCCATACACAAACAATAGAATCCCTCCTCTGTGCTTGGGAAATAATTGAATCAGGAACTGTACTAATCTAACCTAATTATCTCCAAGCACAGAAAAAACATACCATTTTATGAAACCCCAAAAAGTACCTTAAAAACACATAAAACATCCCCTGATAGCTCCGATCTGGGTGAACAACATATCCAAAAATCACCCAGATCGGTTCAGGGGTTCAGGAATTTCCTGGAAGTCCTAGTTTTGACTATAGCCATAGTCCTATTCCCAAAACAGTTCCAGGGAAATCAGTGCTAACAGTCAGTCAAGTTTGGTAGTCTTTTACAGGTTTCCCTGCAGTCCCATAGTCTGTGGGCAGGAGGCTGGCAAGCAGGCCCTCCAAGTACAAGTGGCGAGGTTACTTTCGCTACACTGACAGTCCCAGATTTGGCAATACAGTCCCAAATTTGCCATCATTGTTTTTTCTCCATTGTCCTTCTTCTGTGGTCTCACTGTGTAAAGAAAACTCAGGGCATTCAGCCCATGCTAAATTATTTTAATATAACCCTCCTTATGCACTGCCCTGATCGGAGCCCACTCAACCCACTGTATAACATTCATAACTCCTAATTTTGTGTGGGATGCATAATTGATAATAGTAGATCATATTAAGGAAAGATGATTGTCCTAAATTTTGTATCAGTATTACTCAACGATATTGGACATGGATGAGACAGTGACAGACCAAAAAAATTAAATTTGGCTTTGTTTACTTTTGGTCAATTTAATGTTTTAATATAAGAGCCACTGGCCCCTTTGATACAGCTGTGACTACTTCATAAACATTGTAAGAGACATAGAAGAACTATGCTGGGTATAAAAGGCAACACATCCTAACACTCTTATATGGCCTCTGGTTAATGGACATGTCGATGGCCAAAATGGAACATTTAAGATGAAAGGTGTTTCTATGGATAAAACCTGGCATTCTATTACGAAGTCTTGATTTAAACTACATTCCACTGTTGCCGCAAAACACGGAGGATTGTTGAACCCAAGAATGCATTCTCTGGATCTCATCTCAATCAGTTTAATTCCAGGAATTGTTATTTAGAGTTTAACCTCAGGAGAGACTGTGTACAGTTTCGAGGATGTGCAGAGTCTTAAGGCTCCAACATTTACGTATTGCATACTCTTGTTATTCCCTTTTTCTTTATCTTTCAGGACTACTATAAGCTCAATGAAGCAGTCTGGGTGCAGCGGTTCTGTCCTTTTAGCCCTGCAATGTAAAACATTGCTGTTTTGTAGATACGCTAATGTTTATATTGCAGGGCCAAACACGTGTCCTGTGAGAGGCATTTGACTGAATGAGCATGGCAATCGCAGCACATGTGCTTCTAATCCCTAATACAACCTGCTATTTTTTTTGTTTTTTTTTTATTTGATTTAGGGGGGACCTGAATCTAAATTGACTGTAGAATAATATAGCGTTAGGTATACATGTTCAGAAATATTATTTGAAGGCCCTTTCAGTAATAAAAAAGCCAAATGAAAGTATAGCATTTGGTACTAAGTGAACAATATATGCCATATCTGACAAATCACAGGATCTATTAAAACAGCAGTAAATATAACCAAGTAGTAACATCTATTACTATTCAGCTGCCGATTTGGTTAATTCCGATAGTGTGCACTGAAAAGCGCTTTGAGTCCCACTGGGAGAAAGGCGCTATATAAATACTAGTTATTATTATTATTATAAACATTATGACTGAACTCTTATATTACATTCTAAAACTGCCTTAAAGCGCCATCTAGTGCCCAAAGTGAATATTAAATACACAAAAACTACACAGTATAAAGGATACAGATATCAATCACAAAGCAAACATGGCAAAAGTAATGTACATGATTACCATGTGATTGATAACAGTATCTTTACGCTTCATATTCTACGTATTTATGACATTTTTCACTTTGGCCACTAGATGGTGCTTCAATGCAGTTTTCGTTGCTCTGATGTGACAGTCCGGTCATGAACACATAAGCCGTAAATTTGCTGTGGCAGAGTTTATGTCCTCTGTCTTGCATCAAAAGTGTGATCTTTCCTCTCCGGCTATTTGACGCATCCTATGTGAAAAGGTTGACATTTTTGCCTTTTTCTTCTTAGTCATATATTGGGTTTGGAATGCCCTTTAGATAGATGATAAATAACAAAAGAAAGAGAGAGAGAGGTGCAGGCTTTTCTCTGGCATAATTGCTTTTATATTTTGTAACAATGGATACAATAAACCTGGACTGACTAACATTAGAACCTCACTATGTCTAGAAAGCTCGCCTCGGCCAGCAGACTCCATCCTTTCAAAAGCCCAGAGTTCCAGATGGGCTTCTAAATTTATTTCACTGATACCCTGCAAGAAATATGTGGAAGCCCCAGGGTGGACAGGCCTTTAGTGATTCTTGGGCTCTTATAATTTCTACCAGCTCAGAATTTCTACATTACGGAACTGCCAGGATAAATACTGTATTTTCCTCCCAATCTATTTGAATTCTACTGAGAGCAGGGCAGCACTATTTCTGTGATGTCCATCAGCATGGAGCTGTTATATATTTCCAGAAAGTAAATATATATCTGGAAATCCTAGGAGCCTGTTGTTATTTTCTTTTCACCTATTTAGTTATCCTTGATTAAAGTTTTGTTTGTTCTTTGTTTAATCTCTCAGAATTAGTGACAAATAACTTTTAAATAAATTTGCTAGCATACATAATCAATTTTTCAATATTGGATATATTGTTATGCTTATACACTGTTCGTGTGTGTCTACTTATCTAATAAAACAGCAGCGTCATTAACAATGTGCATGAATACTATGCTAATTTGCAGGATTGGGGAAAGGCTTGACTATCATTGAGACTGAACAATGCCCATTTAATTGTTGTTCCAGCTATCTTTTCACGGTTTCAAGTCATCTCTCTGTTTCATGCACCAACTGACCGGTCTAGGAGTGCTTCCTGCAGTCCTCAATGTCTTTCAAGACGCCAAATGCCCATGTGGCCTAGTAGGCGCTGAGGGAGGAAGAAGCAGCTGATCTCCCAATTCGGAGCAGACAGGGTTCCGAAATTAGAAATGACACCCCGTTATCCCCCCACCCCCCCTTTGGACCAGCAGAGGTGATCTCGGTCCCCACCCTGGGGGCCCCCAAACTCCCATCAGGGTTCCGTGGTGATGCCCTAGACGCAATCGATACCACCAGGGGGACATGTAAAATGGCGAACGCCACGAGTAGCCTAGATTCCCACGGAGAGACATTCACTCTTCTCCAACGCTTGGAAGAACTCTTTGAAGCTTTCTGGAGGACACTTAGGGGGAAGCTATCCCTACCTGTTGCTGTGGCTGTTGAGGCTCCTCCTGGACCATTCTAATGCTCCCCAGGCCATTCGGTTACCACTATCAAGGGCCCAGTGCATTGGAGGTGGCAGAGGCTGCATTGGTGGCGCATTGTAAAAACAGCAGTGATAACAGCGGATAACAGCGGTATTTTGACAAGCCATGAAGCTGTGCACCTTCAGAGCAAGTATGTGGGTCGTGTGGTGAGATGGAGAGATAAGAGGAAAGCCAGTGCAGAGCCAGGATATGCAGCTAACATCCTCGCTCTGACACTGAACGTTCATACCATGTGGGACTGTAAATTCCCTGTACTGGCGATAAGCTAACCGCCATGTTTGAGCCTCCAGTTACATATTATAAGCCAGTCTACTGATTTTTACATGTTCATTCTTGTTTTCTAGTAGATTTAAATTATTTTTGTTCTTCCTTTTCTATACTCTATGTTAATAAGCTCCAGATGAAATGCGATTTTCTGTGATTCCATTTATGTAGGATGTCTCCTGCATGTCTCTAGGGCAGTCTAGGGTGGTATAATCTGCTGTTAACCTGCTCCTACCATGTCTATTGTAAAATTAAATTTTTCTGTAGTTCGCAATCGAACCTAGACATGTGTAATTGGCTTGTTTATTACATAATCTAAAATGTGCTTAATTTTTAAAGCCATGTACTTATTCAATATTCTATGTTGCCATTCTTGTTGATGCTGTTGTGGCACTAATAGTTCTGTATTTTCATCCATGCACAACAAAAATAAAGAATTTATAAAATGCAAACATAATTCTAATTTGCAAAAACGTAGTCTAAAATAGCAAAGATGAAACTACATGATTTTTTTCTGAATGATCTATTTTTACCTGAAGGCCAGGGCCGGATTAAGAGCACAGTGGGCCTGGTGCTGACAATTATGATGGGCCTAATTACGGAATCTTATCGACCAAAAACACTAAAACAATCATACCTCCCAAGCGTCATGTATCTGATGGAGATGGTGCTGGAGGGAAACTCATAGGATGCAGCTATAAGAAAACACATACTCTATGCTAATTTCTCTCTAATTTATGCTTTCATCCTTCAAGTAAATCCATAACCCCTAACAGCGGTGTACAGTGAAGCAGGAAGTCAATGGGCTGGGTAAAAGGGTGTGCCACTGGCGCGAATCACGTGACAAGACCTGCCAAAAGGGGTGAACATGCCCAAAAAGGGGGCATATTTGTCCAAAGAATTGGAAGGTCAGCCTGGCATGAATGCATCTTGAGCTTGACATAAATGCGTCTAATGATGCGCTCACTCCATTCTTTCTAAGGACTGTCCCCTCGCACTCGCTGGTCCACTTGTCTCCTTACCTTCTTACTAGCAGGCAGAAGTTGCTGGTATATAGTCTGAGACAGAGAAAAGGTGTCTGCAGTGAATGTAGAAGAAAGGGGACATGCCACAGTGTTAGAGAGACCAACGTCTGCATTACCTAAACTAACTTTAATGTCAACCAGTGCACACAAGTTTTTTTCCCATACATCCCTCTTAAGCTTACAAACTTAAGGGGACACTATAGTCACCAGAACAACTACATCTTATTGTATTTGTTCTGGTAAGTAGAATCATTCCATTCAGGCTTTTTGCAGTAAAGATTGTCTTTTCAGAGAAAATAACTCCACTGGCCGCTCCTTAGATGGCTGCTACAGGTGCTTCCTGGGGCAGTACTGCCTAGTGTGCAGCACTGCCATTTAGTGTCTCCACCCTCTGCATGCAGACACTGAACTTTCCTCATAGAGATGCATTGATTCAATTTATCTTTATGAGGAGATGCTGAGGGGCTGGTTCTGCCCCTGATCTGCCTAGTTGACAGTCTCAGCCAATCCTATGGGGAAGTATTGTAATTTGCTCAGACCACCACTTCTGAGCCAGCAGCTGCAGAATTGAATACAAGTAATATTTTACTATATTTAGGGAGGCAAGAAGGGGCCAGGGTAGTGGTTTTAACATAATAGGGTAAGAAACACATGATTGTGTTCCTGACAATATAGTGCTCCTTTAAGCAAGAGTATGTGAAGAGTAGTTAAGGTTGCCACCTTTATTGGAAAAAAATACCAGCCTTAATCATTTGTATAATTAATTAGTTATGCATGACATCACATGATGTAAATCACAAGGAGTGACATCAGAGAAAATTCTGTAAAATCACCAACAAACTACTCACAGTTTGATTCTGCTGTATAGATGGATTGCTCCCAGTGTCTCAGTCTTGCAAGTCACCCAGTGTCTCAGTGTCCCTATGTAACACAGTGTCAGTGTCCCCATGTCGCCCAGTCCCCTAGTCTCCCAGTGTCTGTGTCCCCATTTCTCCCAGTGTCCCAATGTCTCAGTGTGTCCCCATGTCACTAAGATACTGGAGACACTGAGAGACATGGGGACACTGAGAGACCCGGGGACACAGAGACATGGGGACACTGGGAGACATGGGGACACTGAGACATTTAGGGAAACTGGGAGAAATGGGGACACTGAGATACTAGGGACACAGACACTGGGAGACATGGGGACACTGAAACATTTGGGGACACTAAGACACTAGGGACACAGACATGGGAACACAGACACTGGGAGACTAGGGGACACTGGGAGACTAGGGGACACTGGGAGACTAGGGGACACTGGCTGGGAGACAGACCCTTGGGGACACTGGGAGACATGGGGACAGTTGTGGACATAGACTGGGACATATACGGACACTGGGAGGCATGGGGACACCAGGCACACTGAGACACTAGGAACACAGACACTGGGAGACATGGAGATACTGAAACATTTGGGGACACTAAGACACGAGGGACACAGAGACTGGGAGACTAGGGGACACTGGGAGACTAGCGGATACTGGGAGACTAGGAGATACTGGGAGACTAGGGGACACTGGCTGGGAGACAGACACTTGGGGAGACATGGGGACAGTTGTGGACATAGACATGGGGACACTGGGACACATGGGGACACTAGGCACACTGAGACACTGGGAGACTTGGGGACACTGAGACACTAGGGACACTGGCTGGGGGACATAGTGTCTCCGTGTCCCAATGTCTCCCAATGTCCCTATGTCACACAGCGTCCCCATGTGTCTCAGCATCCCCATGTGTCCCAGTGTCCCCTAGTGTCTCAGTGTCCCCATGTTTTCCAGTGTCCCCAAGTGTCTGTGTCCCCAGGTCTCCCAGTGTCTGTGTCCCCATGTGTCCTAGTGTCTCAGTGTCCCCTAGTGTCTGGGTCCCCTAGTGTCTATGTCCCCATATGTCCCCAAGTATCTCAGTGTCCCCTAGTGTCTCAGTGTCCCCATATTTTCCAGTGTCTCAGTGTTCCCAGGTCTCCCAGTGTCTGTGTCCTAGTGTCTCAGTGTCCCCTAGTGTATGTGTCATCATGTGTCCCCTAGTGTCTGTGTCCCCTAGTGTCTCAGTGTCCCCATATGTCACCTAGTGTCTGTGTCCCCATGTGTCCCTGCTGCCTTTCCCCCATCCCTCACTTACCTGAGCTGTAGAGCTGCTGTCTGGACTCTCTGTGCTGTGTAGCTGCTCCCCCACGGATCAGTGAGTAGTAGAGAGAGGCAGGGATATTCTGTAACTTCCTATCCCTGCCTCTCTCCACACACAGTGGCCGGTGCTGGTATTGCAGAGTAATTTCCATTTATTCTGAGAAAATTACCTGCGTTTGTATTGCCGGTATTACTGCAATACCGGCACGGCCAGGCAGCCTCAAATACCGTCTGTGCCATTAAAATTCCAGGCAGGTGGCAAACCTAAGAGAGGCGTGTTTAAGAAAAAAAAAAAAAATTTTTTTTTTTTTTTTTTAAATGGGCCTATTCCATGGGCCTGGGCCTGGAGCTGCAGCTCCATCAGCCCCTATGTTAATCCGGCCCTGCTGAAGGCCATTGTATTTGAAAAGAAAAAATTAAGTTCTGTTGAATTGCATAAAATATATTTTATTGAATAACCTTAGCTGCTTTATTACTAAGTTTATTTTGCAAATGAGAAGCATCTCATAATTAAATTAAAGGGACACTATGGTCAGCAATACAAGTTTAGCTTAATGAAGCTGTTTTGGTGTATAGAACATGCCCCTGCAGTTTCACTGCTCAGTTCTTTGCCATTTAGGAGTTAAATCACTTTATTTATGCAGCCCTAGTCACAGCTCCCTGTATGTGACTTACACAGCCTTCCTAAACAATTCCTGTAAAGTGACATCTAATATTTATACTTCCTTTTTTTTTGCAAATTCTGTTTAATGTACAATTTCTTAACCCCTGTTCTGTTAATAGCTTGCTAAACCCTGTGCATCCTGTGTGTGACTAAAGTTCAATTTAGAGAACTGATTATACAACATTTTAATGCAAGTTACTATTTGATTGAAAGTGAAACCATTATTTTTTTTACAGACTGTGTGAGTCACGGCCATGGGAGGTGTGACCAGGCCTGCATAAACAGAAACAAAAGTGATTTAACTTCTAAATGGCAGTGAACTAAGCACTGAGACTTCAGAGGCATGATCTATACATCGAAACTGCTTTATTAAGCTTAAGTTGTTTTGGTGACTATTGTGTCCCTTTAACATGTCAGTTGCATAATTTGCATAATACATGTTTGGAAAACCAAATAGATTCCCTAGGAAACACATTGATGTTTCAAGTTTCCTCATTTCCAAATACATTTTTGTATGTATATATGTTACCCAGATGTACAATAGTTGTTGTGTTAAAGGGATACTATAAGTGCCAGGAATACAAAGCTATAATCCTGGCTCTGTAGCTCCCTCTGCCTTCCTACCTATGTGAATAAAGAGTTAAAAACGGTTTATTTACTTTCCTGATCCCAGCTGAGGCTCCAATGTCACGCGACAAGCTTGTGGAAAAATCTGACGCTGGATGTCCTTATGGAGAGTGTTGGGGCATCCAGCATCAGTTACCGGACCAAAGGTCCGTTAGGATCCAGGAAGCCCCTCCACTGGCTGTCTAGTAGACAGCCACTGTGGGCAGACCTAGTGCTGCAACATAAACAGTAAAGTTTCTTTAGAACTGCAATGATCAACATTGCCGCACTAAGTGCAATGAGCTGAAGTGGTCTGGGTGCCTATAGTATCCCTTTAACCAACTGAAATGACTCACCAGCTTTGTCACTGCCCAAAA